CAACCCAGTAGTCAAATGATTTCTGAATTCGATAACATAATAGTTATCGATCAAGGTAGAACTTTATATTGCGGCCCGCGCGAAAACATATTGGACAGTTTCAAGGAAGCTGGATACATTTCTCCGCATTTTTATAATGTCGTCGAATTCGGTATTTATTTATAATTTCATTTATTGCCAATAAGTTTGTAATATATCGTAAAAAGAATATAATTGTGACGAATATGTAAGAATTAAAAAAATCTAACACGAAAATAGAGATAAAGATCTTTTCGATTTTAGTACTCGAGGTGGTGACTAATCAATGTGATGATAATTTGAAGGATCTAGCTAAAATGAATTTGGTCAAATATGTTCAGTGGAAGTCGCAATACGAGTATTATAAAAATGGTAGGTATAGGCTATATATATATATATATATATATATGTATATATATGTATATATATAGATAAATGAATTCATTTTATTTTAATAAGTTATAAAACAATGATAGTAAAAATCTTGTGCCAATTGAATTAAACTATTTCTCTTTCTTTGAAATTTGATCGTATAGTTAAAAATAACGAAGATATTTCAAAAGTTGGAACGAAATGATACATCCTGTAAATATAGCAATAAAGGAAGAACAACAATTGTAGAAACAATAACTTTTTTGACGTAAATATTTTAGAGACGGTTGATACGAATGGATCTTTGGAACGATTAGAGATGGATGAGGAAAATGACTTAGCAAATGAGAAATTTCGAAAATTGTCTATTTGGGAACAACAAAAGATTTTATTATTACGATCCTTCATATGTATTAAGCGAGACAATGTGGGTAAAGCACAATAAAATATAAATATACATATTAGATTGTCCGTAAAGTTCGTTCCAATTTTGTCATTATGTTACCTATCATAAATCGTCACGAACTTTCCGGACAACCCAAACATGGATAATATGTGAGCATATAAAAACATCATAGCGTTAAAATATACGATGATATACGTAAATATAATTCATTTACATTTCAGATTATGACAAAACTAAGGTTTAGTGCACACGTAATTGTTGCAATTTTACTAGGTTCTATATTTTACGATTTTGGTGACGACGCAAATAAAGTAACCAGCAACATTTCTTGCATCTTCTTTTTTTTACTCTTTTTATTCTTCGCCAACTCATTGCCAGTCGTCCAAATTTGTAAGCGATTACATAAATACGCATATATTTGTATTAATACAAATTATTATGATCTATTTATTTTGTAAATTGTATAATCCGTTAATCAAAAATTATAAGAATGTGTCATGTTTAATTCTTTGATAGTTCCTATCGAGGCATCGGTCTTCTATCGAGAACATTTAAATAATTGGTATAGTCTGATGCCTTATTATATATCGAAGATAGTCTCGGATTTACCGATACAGGTACGGGAAAAATTCATAAAAAATATTTTCAGGGAAAAAACTCGGTCTCACGATAAAACAGAAATTTCATTTTTTATTTTCTCCTTCTTTTTCTTTTTTAGTTACTCTGTCCTACCTCCTTTTTTATTATAGCATATTATATGACCGGCCAACCTATGGAACGAAATAGTTTATTGCAAGCTTGGATAGTTTGCATTTTGCATACTATTATTGGACAATCAGTTGGAATAACAGTGGGTGCAATATTCGATACTCAAGTAAGTATACCGATCTAATAAAGTCTAAAAAAAAAAAGAAAAAAAAAAAAAACCAAAACTTATTTTTAATTTAGACAATTACGATTATTTTTATGTGTTATCTAAGGCTAATGGTTTTAGTCTGTCAAAATAAAAAAGAAAAAAAAACAAAAATAAAATAACAATTATACTCACATTTAATAAGCATTTATTTATTTGTTTGTTTGTTTGTTCTCTTTCTTTTTGTTTTTTTTTTGTTTTTTTTTTAGATCGGAACATTCCTCATTCCTGCATTGAGCATACCGATGTTTCTATTCGCGGGTTTTTTTTTAAAACTCAGTGAAATACCGTCGTATTATCAACCACTTTGTACGATCAGTTTTTTCAGGTGAGAATAGTCCTTCCTAAGTGTGTAAGTGTGTAAGTAATAGAAGAAAGATTTACTTTTATATTCTACTCTTATTGTTTTAGGTATGCCTTCGAAGGTATCATGCAAGCCATTTATGGTTTTGACAGAAAACCATTGTCTTGTACGGAAATATATTGTCATTGGCGTTCTCCTAATGAAATTCTATCAATGATGAACATGCAATCGGTAAAATTTCACGTTAGTGTGGTTATTATGCTCGCATGGATTTTTTCTTTACACGTCATCACATATTGTGCGTTACGATGGAAAGTGCATAAAATTAGGAAATAATTTTTCTTTGGTTTACCTTTGATTTTCATTTACTTAATGTTCTTGTTCTTTTTTGTTTTTTTTTTGATATACAGAAAAAGAAAAAGAAGAAAAGAAGAGAGATTTTTACAATAAAAAACAAAAACATCAATTTTTCTTAAATAAGATATATTTACAGCAATTACTGATAATTGTTTATTTGACAAGTAAATCTTATCAGGATTAAATATTATAACTTTGATATTTAACTCTACCATTTCATCTTTTTTGCCTTACAAGTGATCTTTTTTTTTGCTACAATCATTTTGAAAGGAATATCAAATATTATCTTACTTAGCGCAATATAGTTTTTATAATGTCAATTAATAGCGAAATTTTCCTGGATAGATTTTTAATATTAATATACATACTAAAATAAGACGAACATATATATATATATATATATATATATATATATATATATATATAATTAATAATATATTATTAATTATATAATAATATATATATTAATATATATAATTATAATAATATATAATTAATATATAATTATAATAATATATAATTAATATATAATTATAATAATATATTATTAATTATATATATATATAATTATATATATATATATTAATATATATAATTATAATAATATATAATTAATATATAATTATAATAATATATTATTAATTATATATATATATAATTATATATATATATAATTAATATATATATATATAAATTATATATATATAATTAATAACTTTTGTGCAAAATGAGTAATTATATAATAGTATCTTTTTTAAATGGGAAGAAAGTATATACGATTCAAAAGTTTAGATTCTAATATCGTCCCATGTATACATGCCTATTCTTAAATTAACACATTGTCAGTCAGTGATAAAAAATATATATATATATATATATATATATATATATATATATATATATATATATATATATATATATATAGCCAACGAAATTTCATTTTATCAAAGAGTATTATTTATTTCATTGAATTGTACAAAATGCGCAATATGATGCTATATATGAACAATGAATATAAGGTAATGAACTAAAAGTAATATAAAAAGATCTTGTTGATTAATTTCAAAAATAAAAAAAAAGAAAAAGGATAAAAAAATAAGCAATTTTGTCTTTAAGAGAGCCGGAAAAAAAGAAGTGGCATATTAAAAGAAATTTATTATGTATTTCTTTATAAGATTTTAACGAGTAAAACATTGACTTATATATCAAGAAATTTTACAAAATATGCAAAAGTAATAAATTTGATTTTGCTTTCAATCGGTCAAGCAAACTCTGGACTTTTTTTACGGTAATATGTTTTTATAATTATTTTTTTATTAATAGTCTTATCTTCTGAATTTTTTCCAAGAAGATGAACTAAACTGAACGGGTCACAAAACAAATGATGTATTAATTTTTTTAATTTTATCAGAAATTTCATTTCGGTAAATATATCTAAAATTAAACTCATCTAAAAAGAAAGAAAAAGAGAGAGAGAGAGAGAAAGAGAGAGAGAGAGAGAGAGAGAGAGAGAGAGAAGGAGAATCTTAAAAGATTGTACCCTATCAGCTGACAATGTGCTAATATAAAAATTCTTTTATCCGATTTTTACTTTTATTAAACGTAAAATAAAAAGTTAGTACAAATACATTACATAAGACAGACTTCTCATTGACTTCTGTCCTTATTCATAACTTAATCATAGTGATCCTATTACAGGGTGCTTTTAAGGACACTTTCAATACTTAAGCACCCACCTTGTAGGCTTCAAGTGAAATATTAATCTGTTAACCGAGAAAATAGTCGGATCTGTGTTGGCGAATATGTGACAAATATTTGTTTATAAAAAGCAAATTCTACGGATGATAAATATAACTTTTTTGTTTTTCTTTTCTTTTTTTTTTTTAATTTATAAAGCGATATACTTATTTATTTTTTTATTCTTCGAGAAAAATTAAAACTCGTTATTCATGGTTAACAGATTAATAACGTCCTTATGTTATTAGCTATTAATCAGGTCCAGATATCAAACGGCAATTAAAGTGCGACGAAATTAAGAACATATAAAATAAATAACTTTTCGCTTAACGGTCATTAAATAATAATAATAATAATAATAATAATAATAATAATAATAATAATAATAATAATAATAATAATAATATTAATAATAATAATAATAATAATAATAATAATAATAATAATAATAATAAAAGAACAAAAAAAGAAATGTAGATTTGAATCGTGGATTTTATCGTCCATAAGATAAAACGTAACATAAAATTGTATTTAGGAAGGAATTAATCAATATTAGAAGTAGTATAGGAGAAATAGAGATCTAAAGGATATATTATTCTTTGATAATCTGGTACCCACCTATATTACTACTCTAAGGTTCTATAAAATTTAGTTTTTACATTACATTTTTACAATGACACATAAAGATTTTTCTTTTGATGGATGAGAAATGTTATTTGCTTTTTTCTTTTTTTTTCTTCTTTTCTTTTAAATAATAATGTCCGATGAAAAAGATTTACAAATTACTTTAAGATGATGATTAAAATGTTTTAAAAAAACAAAAAAAAAAAATATAAAAAAAAATAAAAAAAAAATAAAAAAAAAAAGAAACAATTGACTCACACGAATTTAAATCATTTCGCATCGTATTGCTATGAGATTATAGCGAAACATAAAAAATATATCAATAGATCTCAGATACAAATGACTATATAAAATAAATTCAATTCTTTTTTTTTTCTTCTTCTTTTTTTTTCTTTTTAGGATATGATGAGCAATTACACAGTGTTTATTAATTAGATTCTAATGGACTTTGCCAATAATGTGCCTGCATAGACAACCGTTTATTGTTACTTGGCTTTAAAGGTGTCGTGCAATGCACCGCATCTGGAAATCTTTCATAATATCGTTCGAGTCGTAAATATTTGACCGTAACTAAATGACCTAAAAAATAAACATAGAATAAGTATAACACGTTATTCATATTTATCTGAATATAATCGAATCTTACCGTCAAACCACCAGCCATGTAACGCTCTGTAAGCTTTTCCAGCATCTTCTTGCGATATACACTTCATGTAAACGCAACCTTCTCGGCTCCCACGATCCACTCGAATATGAAGTATTTTCACTCCCTCTCCACACTTTTCTAAAATGGCATCTTGTATTTTGATCTCCCAATTGTCGTCATTCTCGCTGTTACGTAACATATATATATATATATATATACATATAAAAAAAAAAAAATAACTCCATTCATCGTCAATTACTTTGGTCACAAAATAAATATATATATATATGTCGGTCTAAAAAAAACGTACAAAATAATACATACGCATCTGGATCGAACATATGTCTTATCTTTAAGCAGGGTGTCGGTGAACATGTTAAACTATTAACCGATCCTTCCATAGTTTCAAATGCTTGTCCCTGCCAAACTTTTGACTTTTTATTCAATGAAGGACTTTGCGCGTTAGACTTGTTTAGAGTATTATTAGGTAACCAACGCCACACGTGAAATTCTTCTCCGGCAACTTGTTGCACTTCTCTTCGAATTCTACAAATTATAACAATATTTATAGTTTTATATATATATATATATATACACATATACATATATGTATATATTTATTTGTAAATTGATTCATTTTATAATGCAAAAAAATAAGCCAACTAATCCACCTAGATTCGTTCTCGTCCAAGAATCTAACAGCTTTTTCCCATAACCCAGCCATCCTTTTACGATCTTTTGGTAAAATTAGATTATCCCGGACATGATTTATCGCAAGAAAAATATCTTGCGTTGAACCAGAAGGTGACAGTCCTGCATTTTGATGATGCTGTTCAACCACATTAATGATTTCGCTAACTAGCTTAAATACTTCTCTTTCCACGGATTTTTGGTATCTTTTATACCAAACGAATAGTTTCTGCGTCCCAATAACAGCTAAAAGGCCTACGAATATATCATAAATATCATATATCTATATATCATCAATTTTCAATTCAGATAATAAAAAAAATCCATATTTTTTTTCTTTTTTCTCTTTCTCTCTCTCACTCTCACTCATTCTCACACACACACACACTCTCTCTCTCTCTCTCTCTTTCTCTTAATACGACAGTACCACGTGAACGCAAAATACTTATGGTCATGTATATTACTTCTTTTTTTTCTTTACATTGAAAATATTAATTCATGATTATATTTGTAGAATTTTTAAGAGCTCTCTTCGAATAAGCTATCTGTCAGGAATTTACCAAGGGAGATTATCAGGAGAGTTGAAAAAATGGTGAATAACTTATTCTTTATATGACACTGCAATGGCAGTTCTGGATTCAGTATGACCATCCCTATTTTTCCATTCATACGTGCTGGGAATATACTATCCTGCAACAAAAACGTGCTACGTTTTTTTTTTGGTCATCGTTAATAAATATTATAGCAATGGTAAAATACTATAGGTGTGCAGAAAATAATTGAACATTTTTTGAAAAAACTTTACCAACGAATTCAATACTTCTCCGGATGCCTTATCGCCATCGCTTACGTCAATGAGTGAAATACCCCATTGAGGATTCCTAATAATAAGAAGTTGTGCATTTTGTAAATCTTCTTTCACTTCTAGAGGTGTCTGTAAGATTGACTTGTATCACATATTTTAATACGTATTCATCGTAAAAAGAAAACTTCAGAAACATACCACTTTACTGTTTGCAAACATATCCATAATTTCAGTGTCTGTTAGATATGGTATATCGCTCGAATTGTCGCACAGCACCGATATTGCCTTCTTCAATAAAATTGGTTGGAGTCGTTTTAACAATTGTAATACAGATTCTACATTTTCTTTCATTACACAATTAACTCCAGGTGCTTTGAGATCAGGTGTTCCCATAAAACAGAGCGGTATATCACTATCTATAAATTTACAAACTGTTAATTCTGACAAATCGTTATAACGGGATTTTTTTTTTATTTATTTATATGTTTATTTATTTTTATTCCATTATGCTTAAACGTTAAGCGACTGTATTAAATGCAGGTAAAAAGAATTTTATGTAATATATTTAACGTGATGACATAAATGATATGATCGTTAAATGAAATATTTAAATAATGGGAACAGGAAATAAAACGTGGAAACTGATAATATAATCAACATATAATATTTATTAGACATTTCAAAAAAGAATACACATTAAGGAATTTTGGACGCCTGACTCACTTTTAAATAACTGCATTTTATACAGAAATGGGCATAATTGGGCAGATAAAATATATTTTGAAAAATGTCTTGCAATTACTTTTGAAGTAGATTAAAAAGAAAAGGAAGAAAAAAAAAAAAAGATAAAAAAATGAAAAGAAAGAAAAGGAAGAAAGAAAGAAATAACGAAGATATAAACGGATATTTGCATTGCTCTACTTTTGATCGGATTAGTAAGAAAGTCAACGAAGTTAATAAAAATTATCGGATATATAAGTTGTCTTACTTTTTCCTAAGAATAATATGAAAATAAAATTATACTACATAATTAGATTATGTTTCTGCATACCTACCCATTGACAATGATGGGAAGGTTTCACCTTTACCACCAAGCCCCAAGTATATTATCGCCAGAATTCCAAAAAATGAAGCAAGTACTACCACCAGTATCACCGAAACCATATTTTGATTGTTCCGTGATTCTTCCTTATTAGAGGTAGACTTGAATGTTTTACCAATAGTATTGCGAGATCTATCAGTAGTTGTAACAACGGGTCTTGAATTGAAGAAAAATTGTCTATGTCAAAATATCGATACATAATTGTATTTGATATGTTTCTACATACCTCGAAGTTGAAGTAGTGTACAAAGATCTTAATGAGGAAAAATGACCATTAGAATCCTTCTCTCTAGTTTCTGGTATAACGGACGATGTATGTCTTATCGTAGGACCTATAAATGAAAATTAATTTAGAAAATTAATTCGATTGAACAATCAATAATTGATTAAATCAATCTAATAATTTACTGCTTAACGTAGATAAAGACGACGTAGAAGGATCCAATGATGTTCTTGAACTGAGTCTTCTTGTAAATTCTGATAAAAATGGAGTCTCATAATTTGAAAGCAAATCTCTTGTATCTCTTCCGGTTGCATCTTCTTTAGTTGATGGCATAAATGTAGTATAACTTTTAAAAGCAGGCTCAACATATTTATTATCTTTAAGAGTATGTACCGGTCTTGACATTGATTCATATGATTTTGTAGATTGATCATCGCCAATCATATGTTCGGTATGCGGTTTAGAAACGTACAGTTTTTCAACATTAGTCAAATATCTAGACTGCGAGTACGTCGACCTAGTATCTTCTCTAACATCTGAATCTGAACCAGTTTCTAAGCCATCCGATAGATTAGCCGAGTTATAAATTTTTGTATGTTTCTTTTGTATATTTGTAATAGTACGATTGGTAAACGTTGGACCAGCAACCGACTCAGGTATAATATTATCAACTATTTCTACATTAGGATCTTTGATCAAACTTTTAGATTCGGAAGATACAGGTACTGCGGAAGATGGCGGTGGCATAGGATTGGCCAAAGTCTGACGACGCGTACTCGAACCTGATTTCTTTCTTTTAACCACAGTCGAGGTCGTATCCTCGTCGGTTTCGTCGCTGCTATATCTGTGAATGATTATAAATTATTAGAAAATATCTTTATAAAGAAATTGTGAAAATCAAGTTTATTAAACGTAATAAAGATAAATATAAATAGGAAAGTATTAAGTATAAGTTATACCTGGCAGCTAATGAATGACGCGTTGCAGCAAGACCTCGAGTTTCTATAAGATTCTTTAATTTTTTAACAAGTATTTTTCTGGTTGTCTGTGTTACAGGGCCTACCGGGTATCCATATTCCATAAGCTTACTACGTAATTCTGCATCACTGAGACTATCTACCGACATTTTGTTTACCAAAACCATACTGAAATATTTAAACAGTTCGATCCGCACGTATTAAACTGGCGCATAAAATTTACGCACGATGAATTAAAAAGACGAAGAGATTAATTCGAGACTGTCAATAATTTCTCTTTATTTCACTATTTTCCTTTGACCTATGTATCATGCACACGTGCAACTTCTTTTAACTTTTTTTTTGGCAATCTCATAAAACTAGGCTATTCAGAAAAGATTTCTCTCATATACCACTTTCAGAAAACAATCCACTCGTGAACTAAAACATGGCGCAATTTTCTAACGGCCATAGTTTTGTACGCATTAACCGATACGGCGTTCCATACGGATTCTTTGAGTTCGTATCTTATTGGTCAGTTTGTTCGAAAGTATAGATAGTTTTTATTCCAATACGTAGTTTCGTTTGTAAGACGCTAGAGTGCGCTTTTAACGAACATTCGTCATTCTTGATTCCTATCTGTGTTCATCTCTGTGTTTCGTGCCGAGTTTGGACGTTCAACGCCACTTTAAGAAGATAATTCGAGTAGACGAGTTGGAGAACGTAAATAGTTTATTCGAAAAGATATTAGAAACTTATTATTCTTTAGAATGATTACCCGACAACTGATCAGGAGATTCACAACAAGCGCCGTACGAAGATCGGATCACGAGGGTGATGGTATACCCGGTCACGTAAGTATACTCTCACTCTAATCAATATCTTCGTTCTTTACGATGTAATATAATTCTTTTTCTTTCTTTTTCACACAGAATTTACCGTTCCCGATAAAAAACAAGCTCTTGTTGACCATGATATTTTGCGCCTTTTTTGGAAGTGGCTTCTCATTACCATTCATATCTGTTCGCTATAATATGCTGAAATAAATTATGTAAGCTGTTTCAACGAATACAGTGATATTTGTCAATTAGATTTACTTGAAATGTCTACTTGAATATTCTACATTCGTATACATTTATTCATGCCTTTATCTGCGTCGAATAATGTTTAAATATTTTAAGTATTTTAATCATACCGTTGAATGAATTTGACGTACAGTCAAATAAACTTGTCGAGTTTTTAAAATATTATTGTCAGGAATCATAGAAATATAAGCAGCAAAATTATATCATGGTATTTTATAATCTATATTATTTTTCTCTTTCAGATTTTATTAATACTTAGTAAAGTTAAATGCGCATCAATGGTCTACACACTTAGAAATGAATATCTGTAGTGTTATATGTTAATTGTTTATTCGAATCTATTGTACATTATATGTACATTTAACAAGGCAATATTAAATCATGTTATTATGTAATATTAAATTATCGTAAATATATTCTAGTAAAATTTATACTTCTATCCTTATTATATATGATAATTTTTTTATATAATGATTTTTGCGTTACATAATATATTTACCGACGGAGATATTCTGGTTCCTGCATTTAACCGCAGTGGCGCTCGTAGTCCTAGTAAAATCGACTACGTATCTTAAAATCGAAAATAACTTTATTTCGAGTGAATTTTTAATTATTGCAAAAAAAAAATAAATAATAATAATTAGTTTAATTAATGGATTAAGATCTTACGTTAAGATGACGTTCGTTCGTATCACGAAGAATTATAGACTATTGACTCGCGTAGTGATTCCATCGTCGCCATTTTTTGTCAATTACGATTAATTTCTCCGCGTTCTTTTTTTTTCTATTTTTTTTTTTTTTTTGGACAAATTGAAACTGCTTTTTAATTTTAAAAGCGAACGATTGTGCGAATGATTGTGTCGAATTGTGTACTGGCGTACGAAAAACAAACAAAAGCATCCAATTGAATTTGATTCAATGGCGCATTCATTCCCCTTTTGTGTTACCGACGAATGAAAAGGCAACTTGTATAGGAGGCGTACATCGGTCCTGAGTAAACCCACGCTAGATAACGTACGAACCTTTCCCGAAAGTCAATCATACTCATGCAACATGTGTGCTCACACGAAATCAAACAATGTACGCCATTGTATGATATTTTCTCTTTGATTCGTATGTTTTCTTTTCTTTTTTTTTCTTGTTTTTTGTATCGTTTTATTCTAACTCATTATACGATTGTTAATTCTATTTGATATAAAATTGAAAAGAAATGGAGTATCATAAAATCGGAAAAAAGAAAAAAATCAAAAAAAGAATGAAAAAGGACAACTTTTCTCTTCGTTTCAATGGACGACGCCAAACAAAACGATAACATTCATTTACGCGCTAAAGAGAGAAGAAGAGGAGAAAAGGATAAAGATAAAGAAAAAGAAAAAGAAAAATAAAAGTCGCTGAAAAAAGATGGCACATTCGTTTAATTAAGAGAGAAAAATACTGCTGAAATATTGAGATAAATTGATTCGTCATTGATTGCATCTAATTAAGTAGAGATATAAAAATTTTTGATTTATATTTAATTCGATATATATTTTCGTTCATTAAGGAATTGTAATCGTAGGGAAATTATTTGTTACCTTTTTTTTTTTTTTAATAATATCTTTTAGAATAATCGAAATTAATCGATAAAACTTACCAGGATAATTTTTCAAGGATTCAGCGCGAAAAGATCGGTGGTTAGTTATTACGCACTCTGTGGTTATGTACGTCATTGTCGTGTCCGTACTTGGACCACTTTTACCGACACTCCATTCATCTTTTACGTGACTATCCGAGCGAAGAAAACCGCGTACGAGTCGAAGAGGTGAACACTTAGAACGCTTGGATGTTGGGAGCAGAGGTAGAGTAGGGTGGTACTACCAGAGGTTCTTTAGTATCACGAACGTCAACCACTCGAGGATATTTTTTTCTTTTTCTCTTATTCTTTCTCTTTCTCTTTCTCTCTCGTCTAATTGGGGTAACAACAGACTCATTAGTCTTACGGTCGAGGAGACGAGAGAAGCTCGTTTAACGTCGAGTGTGGTGGTTCGTGAAATCTTTGCATAACGAGCCTCTCTCTCTCTCTCTCTCTTTCTTTCTTTCTATCTTTTTCTCTCTCTCTCTCTCTCTCTCTCTCTCTCTCTCTCTCTCTCTCTTTCTTTCTCTATGTCTTTCTCTTTCGTTATTCTTCATGAGAAAGAGTAGGCGGATAAAGAAGAAGAGAAAGAAGTTAGTTAATGGACAGTGCGAGAGAAAACGTTAATGGCGACACGGACGGAAACGTGC